GATCAAAACAAATGGTATCGTTCAAATAACCGGCTTTTCCTGTGCTGCCTCTGTCCTTGCTCTTGTCTTCGTCCTTGAACTTGAGGCCATTAGTAATGCTCAAACGCGGCACATAATCCACGTCGCTGAATGTCTCATCTTCGGTATAATCGCTCTGGGAGTGAGCTGCGCAGCCCTGCGATCCACACGAAAACTCAAGTTTACTGCTAATCTAATTTCTGAAGGTGCAGACGAGAAGCTCCTCTACGTTACTTACTTCTGTCACGTCCTCTACGATTCCATCATCATCATTGGCCTGGGTAATGCTGTGCGAGGGATGCCCAGTGGTAGCGATCAGAAGCTTCTAGGCGCCTTTCGCATCATCCTCGCCATTGTCGAGATCTGTGAAGTGACAGTGCAAACCTACGTCATTCAGGACTCCTTTTATCGGTGTTCAGAAGGGGTGATGGAGAAGGAGAAGAAGTGGGGACAGACGTACCTGGGCTGTCTCTTGGTGATAAACATGTCTCTTTGGATGATACTTAGCTTTCAGGTGAGCGTGATATAATGTGTCTACTGTGCCTTTTTAAGTAGCCATTTTGTTTACTATTATTCTGTATAACCAACTTTACGTAGCATTAATGAAGCAATTAGTTGCAAACCGTCACATTTCAAATGGCATGATTTTTAAGCAAATCAACTTCAAATAGACAGGAAAGCTAATCGACTAAACGAGGAGGAAATAAGGAGCAACATTCTTTTCTCCTCACTCAGACGAAACATCAAGATTACATGGTGAAGAAAAACCTCAGCCTTTGGCTGCATAAAACCTTCCTCTACACCGCCTTCCCGATGGTGGTGCTATTCCGCTTCCACAGTACGGTCTGCCTCTCTGTCTCCTTCAACGGCATCTACCAGGACGAAGTTACGCGTTTCGCCAGTATGCTCAACACTCTGCACAAGGCTCGAGCCCGCCTCCAAATTCATGAGCATGACGTGGCCAATGACGCTCTCGCGCTGACTCCCCTCAGCCGGCACGGTGCGGCTGCCTATGCCGCCCTTG